TCTCTCTTTGGGTGCTGGGTTGAACAGGCCTCCCTGGTGCTTTGGCACCCACAGGTCCTGTGGGTAACTGGATCGCACAGTCCCTCTGGGTCGCCAGGCCTCTCTGGTGCCCCAGCACCCTGCGGGTCCCGTGGGCAGGCAGCTGGATTGCTCCAGTCCCTCCCGGGCTCCAGCTTCCCATCGCTGTTGTGGGTTGCTGGGTCGCACAGGCTCTCTGGTGCCCCAGCACCCCGCAGGACCCACGGGCAGCTGCATCGCCCCAGTCCCTCTCGGGCTCCGGCTTCCCACTGCTCTTGTGAGCTGCTGGACCGCACAGGCCTCTGTGGAGCCCCAGGTCCCGCCGCTGGCGGCTGGGGAGTGCTGCTGCCCCGTGGGGTCAACTCCCGCTCAGCTTTTGCTGTAGTTTTTGGGGATGGGTCTCAGCTGCTGGTCTGTGCTTCTGTTGCCTAGGGATGGATGTCTGCTCCCCAGCCTCTGTTGCTGGGGGTATATCTCGACTCTGATCGGGCTGCTACTGTGGGGGATGGTGCTGGGCTCCGGGCTGTCCATGGCTTCCGCTACCGGCACCTTGGCAGCTCCACTACTGTGCACTGGTCTGTGTTGACACAGTGTCCACTGGTCCGATGGTGCCAGGTGTGCTGGTGGCTCAGGTTGCTGGGCCCTAGCTGCTCCCACTGCCTCCTCCCAGGGAAGACCCGGGATCTTCCAAATGCTGGGACCTCCCTTCGGTGTAGGGAGACGCGCCCTGAAGGGCTGCTCACCGCGGTCGCCGACTGCTCCGTCCACAGCACAGGGACCTTCTGCTCTGCGTCTCTGCTCTGCTCAGATTTGGTCGTCCACCTTCACGTCCACTCACCCTGTCTCACACACTGCTCACTCTCTCTCACACTCACCCTCCCTTCGGTTCTGCCCGCCACAATCTTGATCTCTGTATGTATATTTTTTAGTCTGAAAATTAGACATGACATCTGTCCCCTCCATGACATAGTAGTGCAGATTAAACAATAATGCTCAATCCCTTGAGAAAAGAATTACACCGTTAGTGTAAATATATATGTTGTACCTCCATCAAACGAAAATTATTTTGGTTGTTAGTATCTGCTTTATCCTGGCCTTTTGGGAATGTTGAATTTTCAAACACTGCTTTTATTATAATTACATGTTGCTGTTAAAAAAATATTTTATTGATTTGTTTGTTGTTTTTTTAGAGAGGAAGGGAGAGAGAGAGAAACATTGATGTAAGAAAGAAACATGGATTGGCCACCTCCTGCACGCCCCCTACTGGGGATTGAGCACGTAACCCAGGCGTGTGCCCTGACCTGGAGTTGAATTGGGATCTTTCAGTCCATGGGATGGCACTCAGTCCACTGAGCCACACCGGCCAGGCCATCTTACTGATTTTTAAAGATACGTTTTATGAATGACATGTTTTTTGTTTGGAAAAATACACTGAATAAATTTGGAAAAGTAGATATTCAAAATTAAATGTTTTGTTTCTTTTTAGTCAGAGGCATTTTTCCTGATGAGTTGACTTTCAAAAAACAAAAATTTCTTTATAGAAAATCTGAAACTTGTCCATAGCGAGAGCAGAATCCTGCCTGTCTCGTGCCTGTCCCGCAGTTCACATCAGTGCGCGGCAGCCTCTCCTGCCCTGGTCCCAGGCGGTCCCCGCCGCCTCTGCTCCTTGTGAGGGGCTCTGGAAAGATACTGTTTCATACCTACTTCAGTGTTTATCTAAGAAGTGCCTCTAAAAACATAAACGTGAAGCCATTATTAGATTCGAAGATAATTAACAGTAATTGGTCAATGTCATCAAATATCCAGACTGTGTTCTCTTTTAATTCATTAATCTGCTCTACATTTTCTCCCTTTCCCTTGTTTTTTTTTTTTTTTTGCTGAGAGAGACAGAGAGTGTTGGGGAATTCCTGCGAAGAAACCAGGTGATTTATTTTGTAGTTCCTTACTGTCTGGATTTTTAGATTTCCCATCGTTTAGATTTCACCTCTGTAGTGCCATTTAAAGTATTTTTGTCAACTGTATTTTCTTCAAATTGGTAGTTAGATCCAGAGGAATAAAACGATTTTCTCTGCAGTAAATGTACCTTTTTGGGGAAATTATTTTAGTGTAAAAGAATCATTTGAGCAGAATGGATGCTCGAGGCAAGTCATTCTCATACTACTTACTGGCTTGACTTGGGGCCCTCATGTGCCCTGCCCTGGTGAACAGGGCTAATTACCTGTTAGCTCTGAGGATTGGCCTCGGGCAGAAACAGCCAGATGGGTTGCTTCAGGCCATCTTCTCAAAATGTGCTGCTTCCCGTTTGCTGTGATGCACACTCAGAGTGTCTCAGAAAGCAGTACGCAGGGCTTTGAGTGACAGCTCGACGCGTCTCTGTGAATGAAGCACATTTGCCATACTTTGTGAATCTGGAGCGTTTGCATTGGCTGAGCTCCGTGGCTGAGCCCAGAAGGATTTTGTGCATTGTTGAAAGGGTTACATCTGAGGGTATATGGTAGAGCTGAGGGTTTGTAAGAACACCGTGTTGCCAGCTTAGTTCAGAGACAGATGGCAGAGGTGAGTGGTGGAGGGACAGCCTGAGGGTCGCCTGGGGCCCTGGACTGGGAAGGACACCAGGTGTGTGTGTTTTCTGTGTTTGCCCTGACGAATCGCCACAACGTAGTTGTGGTCGCATAGGCCTGGAGCTGAGGAGTCCTAGATGGGTCTCACTGAGCTCAGATCAAAGCCTGGCTGGTTTGGCTCAGCGGTTGAGCGTGGCCTGCAGACCAGAGAGTCCTGGGTTAGGTTCCCACTAGGGGCATGTACCACCAAAAAAAAAAAAAGGCTGTTTTTTCTGGAAGCTCTGGGAGAACCTGTTTTCTCAGCTTTTCCAGCTTCTAGAGGCTGCTCAGCTTCCTCATCTTGTGGCCCCTCAACCTTCAAAGGCAGCCATGGCTGGTCTCAGGCACACCAGGTTGGCACGGACTCTGCCTCCTGTTTTGGTTTTGAATACGCTGTGGTCACATTGGGCTGCCTGGATGATCCCCGGTAATCTCCTTGTTCAGAGGTCAGTTGATTAGTAACCTTAAATCCCTGTAATATAACATGTTTACAGGTCCCAGGGACTGCAATGTGGGCATCTCTGGGGGCCATTTATTCTCCTGCACACAGACTGGGCTGAATGAACGGGCGCCGCTTTGCCCAGCAGTACAGTTTTTGGGACTGCCATCAAGGAAACACTTCTGCTGGTCTGGAAGGGACATACCGTCACAGCTCCCGGTGTTACATCGTGAGGCACTTCCGCTTGCAGTAATAAACATTTGAAAGTTAACATTGGTTACCATGACCATTTAACCGAGTCAGCCTTCAGGTGTAGCGACTGCAAGGCACCTCGCGAAGTATTCTCTCTCAACCTTTCGATTTCTGCACAGAAACTACAATTTTTTGTTTTTCTCTGAACATGACCCAGAAAAAGGTACATGCTAATTTGTGGACGAAGTGCATCTGTTTTTGGCAAAATGGGAACGTGGCGATGACAGCAGTTGTGTACGTTTTGATGCAAAGGGAGCTTGATATTGTCTCCTGCCATTTGGGACATGGTGGCTGTGTGGGGGAGCAGTGTGGGCATGACCAGTGGCACCCCTGTTTTGAATGTCCTTCTCCCTCTCAGGCGGCAGGGAGCCCCCAGAGCGTAGGGGAGGGACTTGTGAAGTGGGGACCCTGCAGAGTTTTCACTTTCCCTCATGTCTGCGGCCTCAGTGTCCCTGGGCACAGCGGAGTTCTCTGGTAGTGTGCAGTGTCCCCTTAACGGCTCAGACCTTTCACACTTTTTAGACAGTTTGGTGCCAGGTTTACTGAACATAACTTACCTTTAAAAGGCAGGACTGACGGTGGCTACGATAGTGAATAACACTGTCTCGCTTATTTGAAAATTGCCAAGAGTCGATCTTAAACATTCTCTTCACAAGAAAGAAATTTGTAACTACATGTGATGGATGTTAAGTAGGCTCACTGTGGTGATCACGCCACGAGATACCTACAGATACCGAATCATCAGTTGTACACCAGTAACCAGTGTAACGTTATACACCTGTTACACCTCAGCAAGAGAAATCATGGCTGTTTGGGTTCCGTCATTATTCTCCGCTCAGTTTGGATCGTGATCACACGGTGTTTTAACTCTGTATATGTCAGGCTGTTTTCCCTTTGGCAGCTGGTCTCTAATTCTAACAGCACAACAAACAGAAAAGTGAGCCAGTTGCGATGCGCGGCTGAACCACTGAGCAGTCTGTTCCCAGTGTCGCTGTTCCTGTTCCACCTGCAGCTCCCCCGCTGTCTTTCTCCTGACAGTTGTGCTCTCATTGTGTCCCATGTTCTGCTGTGATTAACACACTCGTGTCTGGGCCAGGTGATATGTCTGTTTATTCAAGTTTATTGGTTTTGATACAGACAGTTTCTTCAGTATTTAATGGCCAACCTTAAAACATATTTTCTCATTTCTAAATCCCCATCTGGGTTTCAGGTGTTGAATGTGTAAGCCTTACCCCTGTGCAAGTGAAGGTGAAATTCTAATGGGAAACTTCCTAGTTTCTTTTTTTTTTTTATCCTCACCCGAGGACATTTTTCCATTCTTTGTTCAGGTAGAGTGGGAGGGAGAGAGAGGAAGAGAGAAAGAGAGAAACATCGACGTGAAAGGGACACATCGAGTGGTTGCCACCCGCACGACCAACCAGGGCCGGGGACAAACTGCAACCGAGGTACATGCCCTTAGCGGGAACCGAACCCAGGTCTCTCTGGAACACAGGCCGACGCTCTAACCGCTGAGCCAAACCGGCCAGGGCAAGTTTCTTTTGCTTGTTTCTTCTACTTATTTACCTTCTAGGTTTAGTAGGTGGTAACTTTTCTTTGAGTTTCTTTGAGAAGGTAACTCTGCTTTCTCTGTTCTGATGTTGTCTTGTTTATATTTGCAACTCGTCAATTGCTTTTCTTTTTCTCTTTCTAAGACTTTTACTGGTTGGTGGATGCGAAACTGCCGACGTGGGCAGATGGAAGGCTTCCAGCTCCGGCCTGTCCGCCTGGAGAGCCCTTTCAGGCTCACCGTACTATAAGCAGGTTGCTGAGGGCGGAGACCGCGCCGCCGCGGTGAGTATGAATGACGGTCCCCTGGCTCAGAGTGGAGGCCGACGGCCGCAGTCGGCTGAAGAGGAGGGAAGAGTTTGTCCTGGCTGAGGAAAGTGACGCAGTGCTGGTGAAAGTTTAGTGCTGCTTTTGAGCATCGAATTCACCGAAAGCCTATTGCGTGCAGCTTGTTCTGATTAGAAGAACAAAGAGCCCAGCCGCAGCCCCGGCGCCAGCAGGCGTTGGCACTCTGTGCTGGTGGCGGTGCCAGGTGCGGTGTGGTTAGCGCACCTCTCATCAGTAACCCTTCCAGGTGGGTGTTGTCGCTGGCCCCTGTCTGCTGATGAGGAAGGTGCACTGAGTAACTTGGCCTGGGTCACCCAGCCAGCACGTGGCAGAGTCAGCGTACAAGTGGCAGAAGCTCCCGGTCCACGTCCTAGGCCCTGAGGTGCAGCCCCGCTTTGCTTCATGCTGACATGGGCTCCCCGGCCGCTCGCTCACTCGCCCCCGACGCGGCTTCCGCTGCGCACCAGGCACCGTGTGCTGTGGTGGGCAGTGCAGGCTGGGCGCTGGCACGGCGACATGGCCACGTGCACACGGACTTCTGGTGACGACACAGCCATGTTTCCTTACCTGGGCAGAGCCTGCTGGTCGTGCACGGCGCTCCCGGACCCCTGTTCCACGTGAAGATCGAAGGTTCCATGGAGGCTGCGACCTCTTGGGGTCCCACCATCTCAGTTTGTGGTCTTAAGAGGGGAAGAGAGGGCTGAAAGGTGGAAGGTGTTACTGGCTCAAACCAGAACCGATACCGTGTCTGCTCTCAGTTCATTTATTGTAACCGATCATGGCACCCCCCCCCCCACCGCCTAGAGACCTGGGAAGTCGTTTTCTGTACGTACGTCCAGAAAGGCGACAACAACTAGACATTGGTGAATACGAACGTGTCTATCGCATTGGCCACCCTGTGGTGGCGAGAGCTTGAGAGTTTGTGTAAACTGCATGGGAGCATGCGCTTGACATTTGTGTGAACTGCAGGAGAGCATGCGCTTGACGAGACTGCACACCCTGCTGAGCACTGCCCGACCTGGGCTGGGCCGGCTGGCTCCAGTGAGGGGAGCCAGCCAGTCAAAGTGAAGCGCAACAGAAGTGAAGTTACGCCGCTGCTTCCTGTAATGAGTGTTGTCTCGTTATTTTCTTCTTAAGAAAAAAAAAATGTGTGTGTGTGTATAAAATTTTCTAAAACAAAAACTTTTTTTGTATGATGTATGAATCCTAACCCTTGGATACTTTTTCATTGACTTCATAGATAGAGTAGAAGGGAGGGAGGGGGAAAGAGAGAGAAACATTGATGTGAGAAAGACACATCTATTGGTTGCCTCCTGAATGACCCTGACTGGGGCCAGGAATTAAACCTGCAACCCAGGTACTTGCCTTGACCGGGTATCCAGCCTGAGACCCTATGGTCCATGGGCCAACCCTCTAACCACCGTGCCAGACTGGGTAGGGCTTCTTAAAATATATTGATTTTAAAATAATCCCCTAAGACCATGAATGGTTAAGGTTTTAGTGTCTGAAAGGAACTAATGAAGTACTTTTGAAATCTGTAGCAATTATAGTAAGCTTCCATTAATTTTTTCTTTAGCTTTTATTTAGCGTGTACTAAATTATGTGATTATAAATTTAACCCAACGAAGTGGAGTTTTTCTTTTTTTTATCCTCACCCGAGGACATTTTTCCATTTTTTGTTCAGGTAGAGTGGGAGGGAGGGGGAGAGAGAGAGAGAGAGAGAAACATCGATGTGAAAGGAACACATCGAGTGGCTGCCACCCGCACAACCGACCAGGGCCGGGGACAAACTGCAACCGAGGTACATGCCCCTAGCGGGAACCGAACTCGGGTCTCTCTGGACCGCAGGCCAACGCTCTAACCGCTGAGCCAAACCGGCCAGGGCCGAAGTGGAGTTTTTAAAAAATAATTTATTAGGTCTACTCACTGTTTGTCTGGCACCAGGCCTTCAAAGCATTTATATCTGTAGAGCAGCTGATGTCAGTGCTGTGCCCTGTGCCTGTCCTTCCCCTCCCTGCCCATGTCCTCGTTCCACGCTCACTCATTCTCTGCGGGCTCAGTGCGGGCTCAGTTTGAGCATCACTAGCCCCATTTCACAGACGCGGAGCCTGTGGCCCCTGAGATCCTAGGAGCTAAGAACAGGGACGGGGTGGCCCCAGGTCCTCTAGTTCCTGTTTAGCGTCTTCTCCCACTACCCTCATGCAGTCATGTGCGTGTCAGCGGCATTGTCAGATGTGTGCTCTGAGGATTACCCCATGCTTTCTATGTAAAGAGTGAGGGTGGAGGTGCTTGTACGTGTGGACATACGTCTGTCTGCAGGAGTTTAGTCATGCTTCTCTCTCTGCTGTAGTTTGTACCCAGCTTGCACGTTTGATTGTGAAATATGTCAGGGCAGATCTTGGAACGACTTCGAACAATTTTATATTTTGAATCGAAGTATGATGTTACTTGCATCTATTTATTTATTTTTATTGATATTTAGAGAGTGGAAGGGAGAGAAAGAGAAAGAGAAAGAAAAAGAGAGAAAACATGGATCAGTTGCCTCCTGCACATGCCCCAACCGGGGTTGAACCTGCAACCCGGGTATATGCCCTCACTGGTAATTGAACCAACTACCCTGTGGTATACAGGGCAGTGCTCCAACCAACTGAGCCACCTGGCCAAGGCTGCAGTTTATTTTATTTTTTTTATCCTCACCCGAGGACATTTTTCCATGTTTTGTTCAGATAGAGTGGGAGGGAGGGAGGGAGGGAGGGAGGGGGAGAGAGAGAGGGAGAGAGAGGGAGAGAGAGAGAGAAACATGAACGTGAAATGGACACATCGAGTGGTTGCCACCCACACGACCCAACCAGGGCCGGGACAAACTTCAGCCGAGGTACGTGCCCTTAGTGGGAACCAAACCCGGGTCTCTCTGGACCGCAGGCCGACGCTCTAACCGCTGAGCCAAACCGGCCAGGGCTGCAGTTTATTTTTAAACGGTTTAATCAGAAGATAATTTACAAAATATGTATACGCACAGATAAAGCAAATGGGGCAAAAAGTTAATAACTGATGAACTCAGGTGGAAGGTATACTGGTGTTTCATTATATAATCATTTCAACTTTTCAGTTGCTGTGAAATTTGTCAAAATTAAAGGCTAGGGAAAAATAAAGAAAGGAGGAGGAAAGTGTGGCGCATGCGCGGAGAGAGGAAGCGGGTAAACTGCAAGCACGGTTAGATGTGACTGGGGCAGGGACTGCCACAGAGTCCCTCGCAGACCAAGAAGCCTGCCTTCCCCGCGGTTCGATGTGACTGGGGCAGGGACTGCCACAGGGTCCCTCGCAGACCCAGAAGCCTGCCTTCCCCGCGGTTCGATGTGACTGGGGCAGGGACTGCCACTCAGTCCCTCGCAGACCGAGAAGCCTGCCTTCCCCGCGGTTCGATGTGACTGGGGCAGGGACTGCCACAGGGTCCCTCGCAGACCCAGAAGCCTGCCTTCCCCGCGGTTCGATGTGACTGGGGCAGGGACTGCCACTCAGTCCCTCGCAGACGGAGAAGCCTGCCTTCCCCGCGGTTCGATGTGACTGGGGCAGGGACTGCCACCGAGTCCCTCGCAGACCGAGAAGCCTGCCTTCCCCGCGGCGGCTCTCAGCGCCTGTGTGTCCATTACTGCGTCTTCCCGAAGCACTGAACCTGCTCTCCGCGGCGCTGCTCCCCTCCGCCCTGACGCTTGGGTGGAAGTCTTACAAAAGAAATCGCTGGTGCGCTGACAGAGTAAATGGGGAAATGCTGAACTACTTTATGATTAACGTCCTGAAATGTTGCGAGTGCATTCTAATTACGTTAGTGGCTTTTAAATGTGTCTTGCAGCTAAACTTACAGTCGTTCTCCACAGCCTTCCCCTACTCCAAAGTCATCCGCATTGTAGGATCAGTTCCTCTGTCAGGTGGCAGACACTGCCCTCACGGAACCCCCTCTCACTGTGTGTTGAAGGTCGCTATTGTGTTGGGGTGGCTGTGGGCGGAAAGAGGTTGCTGTCATGCAGTCTGGTCTCTTGCAAGGCTGCCAGGTTGTAAAAGAGACTATGCAAAATTCAGTATGTGCATTGACCGAAGTTTCCAAATTAATGTTAGTGTCATCTCTGTGATAGTTTTATTTATTCGTTTGTTCAACATTGAATCACTGCCCCAGGTAATAGAATATAAAGGGAGCAGCCCTCAGGGCTTTACTGTATTGGAGAATACCGCTGTGTCTACAACTAAGGCCAATGAGCTGTAGCAGACACCAGGTTAGAGTTCAATTACTGGGAGGAAGGAGTAACTCAGATTGGAATTTCAGCTCTTTCCTGCCATTGTGTTGTAAGGCTTTTTGCCAGGATTGAATGAAGTCATATGTGCCGAATGTACTTGATAGATTGTAAAAGGATCTACAGTGTTAACTATTATCTCTTTCTATTTTTAAGATACGTAGTTTATTTATTTTTTTATTTATCCTCACCTGAGCACATTTTTCTATATTTTGTTCAGATAGAGTGGGAGGGAGAGGGAGAGGGAGAGAAACATCGACGTGAAGGGACACATCGAGTGGCTGCCACCCGCACAACCCAACCAGGGCCGTGGACAAACTGCAACCGAGGTACATGCCCTTAGCGGGAACCGAACCCGGCCAGACCGCAGGCCAATGCTCTAACCACTGAGCCAAACCGGCCAGGGCAAAGATACGTAGTTTAGAAAAAAGTGTGAAAGTGAACAGAGCTGATGGTATTTCTTGTTATTGATGCTGCTTTTCTGGTATAGAATGTTGTGGAAAGAATGCAGCTGTTTGGAATCCTGTTACCCTGAGAAACTCTTGTTCTGAGCAGGCAGAGGTGATGAGGAGAGTTATGTCCATCAGGCCTCACCACCTGCATCTGTGCCTGTGAACCTACCTGTCCTGCGAGCACAGACCGACTGTCCTCAGACCGACTGTCCTCGCGTCAGCTACGGCCGAGCCCCCACGTGTCCACTAGAGCTCACGCAGGCTCATCGAAGGCTGTTTCCTGCATTGTCAGTTTGGCTGTCTGTTAGATTTATCAGCATGACACATGCTTTTATTCTTCTCATTGTGGAAACTCTTCAGTTTAGCTTCTGGAGGGTTTAAACACCCCTAAATCCTGCTGCCACCCCTTTATTTTCCTGCCTTCAGCATGCCCCGCTGTCTGTGCTTCTTCCCACTTCCTCTCTTCAGTTCGCTTGAACGGGGATTTACCTTTATCATTCCACTGAAGTTATCCTTTTGATGTTATCAGTGCCCTCTAATATTGTACGAGTATATTGGTTTCACTGATATTCCTGTTTTTAATAATTTTTCTTTATTGGTTTTAAAGAGAGGAAGGGAGAGGGAGAGAGAAACATCGATGAGAGAGAACATCGATTGGCTGCCTCCTGCATGCCCCCAACTGGGGATCAGGCCCACAACCTGGGCATGTGCCCTGACCCGGAATTGAATGGGTGACCTCTTGGTGCATGGGTTGACTGACGCTCAACCACTGAGCCACACCAGCCATGGTTCATTGATACTCTTAACTCTTGCTAATTACTTATCCAAAAATTAGTTTATTTTCCTCTTTCCCTTTCCTTTCTCCTCCCTTTTTTAGTTGTGTCATTTCTACTTTGTCAAAACACATAATATTTACACATTAGTTTCTGCCTTTATCCTCACCTTTTCTGTCTTGGCTGTCCATTTTTATATTTCAAATACTCACCGGTCACTTCTGTTGCTCAACTTTTATCAGACATCTCTTGGTTAGATGAGATTATCTTCTAATAGATGTTTTGAGAAAGGATCACAGGTGAAAAGTTTCTTATGTTCTTGTATGTTTAAAATTGTTTTTCCAGCCCTGGCCGGTTTGGCTCAGCAGTCGGCCTGTGACTGTTGTGAACAGTATTGCTGTGAGCACTTGTGCACAGGTGTTTGAACATTTAATTCTTTCGGGTGTGTACTTAGACGGCATTGCTGGGTCCATGGTCATTCTGAGTGCAACTTTGTGAGAGACTGCCATCCCTTTTCCATGGCGGCTATACCGTTTTATACTCCTACCAACAATGTGCCAGGGTTCCAAATTCTCTACACCTTCAATAACACTTGTTACTTTCAATTTTAAAATTATACCTATCTCCCTCTCATGCTTTTATCAGTATATTTCATAAATCTAAAGACAAAAATAATCTTATGTTATTTCAAATACTGGTTTCTAAGTGATGATTATTTTTCTGGAATTTTTCAAGTATAGAATGAATTCCTTAATGAATTGAATTTCCATTGGAGGTGCTGACTTTTTCCGCAGGAATGTTAGGGTAGAATGATAACCTAGGGCAGTCTCATTTGAGAAGAACTTGGAATAGATTCTACTTTGCTTAGATTGTGCTAGACTTATTGTGAATGTATTTAAAAAGCATTTGATTATGGGTGTATTTGTAAGATTTACCACTTGGTGGAATTTTTTTCTTCCCAGATAAAAATAGTCTTACCTATATCTCTGACACCTAGCAATTTTCTTAACTATTTCTTTAAATACTAGATTTGCAATAGTTTTTATTTTATGATAAAAAGGACTTTATACAATGAGAAAACATTAATCCTTCTGTGTGTGATGTGCCTTTATTTTGTAGGTTCCAGCGACTCTGGGATTATTGAGGATGTTAAGCATCAAGTTCTCCGGGCGCCCAGGACAAGAACAGGTGACTCACAAGCTCAGTCTGTGCTTCTCAGACATTTTCACCAGCACACCATGAAGGGCAAAGTTGAATGGACCTTGGAGCTTTCGGTATTTGGTTTTTGGGTCATATGAAAATTATAACCCTATAAAATAGACTTGAAACTCCTCCTCAAGGGTACAAGTCCTGTTTCTGTATGCTGGAGCAATTTATAATGTCATGAAGCTGTTGGGACCCTTAATTGTGAGGGACCATTGATGACATGGCACCCTCCAAAGTGTGTGATGAAATCCCAGAGGTTATTTCCATTGAGCTGCACCCCCGAGCTCTGACGTTAATGTCATGTAATTGTGTGTAGGATGGGATCTTTAAGATGAGCCTCTCTCCAGATGGGACCCTCCTTGCAGCCATTCACTTCTCAGGGAAACTCAGCATCTGGGCCGTTCCATCCCTGCAGCAGCAAGGGGAGTGGAGTCAAAATGAGCAGGTGTGTCTCTCGATTCTGATTCTTCTTAGACTGATTCTCACTTAAGGGTGAGTACTGACAATACTGATTTCATTTTGTGGGCATTTTACTGTAGTGCACTATATTATTTGTCATCATTTCGGAATTTTAGTTAAATTATAATGTTATCAGATTAAGAACAGAGTAGCAGTGTGTACTGATTTTAATATCTAGTGCAGTACACTCTGTATTCAGAGTGTAGTCTGGCCATTAATTCTCCATTTTCTACTTTTTCTCATTCCAGAAATACAGACTGGAGATGTTAGTTTCTTAGCAAAAAAAAAAAAAAAAGTCAGCCATTGTGATCAAGGCTTTGGAGGGTCGATATTCTAAAATTGTTAAGTTCTTCCCAAATTTTGAAACACTAGTAACATTGGGGTTATTTATGGCTTAGAGGGAGTTATGGTCTCTTCACTCATAAGGTAGATAGTGAAAATATAGAGAAAGATAGAACTGTTTTAACTTTTTAAAAAGTTTATCTTTATTGTTGAAAGTATTACAGATGACCATCCTTTTTCCCCGATTGAATTGCCACCCTCCTTCCCACCTTCCCTACCTGCCTTCACTGCACTGTTATCCGTGTTGACTGGTTATGTATAAATGCGTGTAAGTTCTTTGGTTTGTCTCTTCCCACCCCCACCCCCTTTCCCTCTGAGGTTTGTCAGTATGTTCCCTACTTCCACGTCTCTAAATCTGTTTTGATTGTCTGCTTATTTTGTTTATTACATTCCACAAATAAGTGAGATCATGAGGTACTTGTCTTTCTCTGACTGGTTTATTTCGCTTAGCATAACACTCTCCAGGTCCCTCCATGTCGTCTCAAAGGGTAAGAGATCTTTCTTTCTTACAGCTGCATAGTACTCCATTGTGTACATGTACCACAACTTTTTTATCCACTCATCTACTGATGGACATTTGGGCTGTTTCCAGATCTTAGCTATTGTAGATAGTGCTGCTATGAACATGGGGGTACATATATTCTTTCTGGTTGGTGCTTCAGGCTTCTTAGGGTATATTCCTAGAAGTGGGATCACTGGGTCAAATGGCAGTTCCATTTTTAATTTTTTGAGGTAACACCATATTGTTTTCCATAGTGGCTGCACCAGTCTGCATTCCCACCAACATTGTATTAGGGTCCCCTCTTCTCCACACCCTCGCCAGCACTTGTTTGATGATTTGTTGATGGTGGTCATTCTGGTGTAAGAAGTGACAACTTTTTAATGTCTTGCAATGACAGGTTTTAAGAACATCAGTTATAGTTTAAAATCATGATGGGCAAGTGAGGTGAGCTCATAAAATGCCATATATTGCAATCCAGTGAAAATTTAAAGAAAAATCTTCTCAATTACATACAACTGTATTATAAATCTTTTACTTTTCTGATGATGATTTTGGATTTCAGCACTTTAAATATTAATTTCCCTTTGTTCTCATCCCCATTCCCCCTTTTCCATAGACATGTCCCGTCACAGCATTGGTGGATGGTTTTGTGATTCTGAGCTGGAGCATTTTCCCTGAGGGATGTGAATGCAGTATGTCCTTCCTCAGAATTCGTGTACATTTTATTTCATCACTGAAATTGCACTATTAAAAGAATTCTTAATAAGCTAACAGAACTTTATTTCCAGAATAGTAGAGGAAGTTAGAAAGTGGATCTATATTTTCTCTCTTTCCACAGACTTAAATGTATTCATTTTTTTTTTTAAATCCTCACCCGAGGACACTTTTGCATTTATCTTCAGATAGAGCTGGAGGGATAGAGGGAGGAAGAGAGGGAGAGAAACATCAACGTGAAAGGGACACATTGAGTGACCACCACCCACACAACCCAACCGGGGCCGGGGACAGACCGCAACCGAGGTACGTGCCCTTAGCGGAACCCGAACCTGGGACTCTCTGGTCTACGGGCCGACGCTCTAACCGCTGAGCCAAACCGGCCAGGGCTAAATGTATTCATTTTAGTCATTTATTTCTTCAGTCTGTTTAACACAGGCTTCAGAAGAGTGTTTTTCTGCGTATCCCCCACCTAGAGTTTAATTTGGTCTCTGCGTGCCCACCGCCCTCTCTCTCACGGGGGCTGCATTTGTTCCGTAGAGGAGGTGCTTCTCGGTCTCCATCTCGGCAGCTGAACACCAGGGACAGTCTCTCTGCAATCACAGCGGGTTCGACTGTGTCTTCCCTCGCGCAGTGGAACGATCGGTCAGCTCCCAGGACTTCTTCCTTAGCACGGTTAGCGAGGCTCGCCAGGTGCTCGTGTTCACACGCTGCACAGTGGTCAGCTTTGTCATTTGGGAAGATCCTGATCGATTGTATGTGGGAAATTTTACATTTGGGCAGATTTTTTTCCTTATATGGTGAAAAATTTTAATATGAAAGGCATTTCCCCCTCCCCTAACTTCCTGTTTTCTTAAATTATTTTCATTCACCTAATAGAAAGCACACTTAACATTTTATTTTGTGACTATCCTAGAATGTCATGCGTGTGCATAAGGGCTATTCCATGAGCACAATCCATTACTATACTTTTTTGTTTGCTGAAATTCTGGATAGCCTCTTTTGTGTGTCTGTAAAGATAAAGATAAATTGCTTTTGTCGGAGACCTTATTGACTTACACATATCTTTTTAACTGGTTAGACCATTTCTTTTTTGGTCTTAGTTGCCAATTAATGCCAGTATAATCTATTACTCTTGAATGTATTAATAGTAATCACTAATTAGAATTTAATAATGATTCTATTAAGGGAATTTAAAAATTGTTAAAAAAATCTTGAAACCTAGAACGAATAACTATAAATGTCTCAGTAGTTGGACTAGGTCGTCAGAAAAGGAATGGGACAGGACAGGAAGTGAATTCGGAAATGCTACACCGGTGCATGATGGGACGAGGCGCGGTCAGGCTAGACGTGTGGCACTAGTGTTGTCCTGGTGCGAGTTGGGAAGGACACTTCGTCAGGATTGCTGTGGCCTGACTTTTCTGTTGTACCTGTGGCTCTGATCCAGTGACCCTGAACAGTCTGATTGTTACCTACTGAACACTGTCCCAGGTTCTTCAACAGATAGGCAGTGGAGCTCAGATAGGATTTCATGTCTCTCAGACTCTGAGGTCCATGCTCCTTCCATGAGCATGTTGGAAAACAAATATTTTTCAAAAAGGTGGAAAAAAGACCCCTATTTATTAGAATTTATTTGATGATCCTTTATCTCTCTCTCTCTTTTTTTTTATTTTTTTATCCTCACCCGAGGACATTTTTGCATTTTTTTGTTCAGACAGAGAGGGAAGGAGAGAGAGGAAGAGAGAGAGAGAGAAACATCGATGTGAAGGGACACATCGAGTGGTTGCCACCCGCACGACCAACCAGGGCCGGGGACAAACTGCAACCGAGGTACGTGCCCTTAGCGGGAACCGAACCCGGGTCTCTCTGTACCGCAGGCCGACGCTCTAACCGCTGAGCCAAACTGGCCAGGGCACTCTCTCTCTCTCTTTTTTTGGTACGTGTCCCTAATGGGAACAGAACCTGGGACTCTCTCGTCCGCAGGCCGAGACTCCAACCGCTGAGCCAGTCCGGCCAGGGCTATTTGATGATGTATTAAAGAACAGACACATCCTGTTCTTCAGTGAATGTAGGAGATTTCTTCACCCCTTCTCAGATATGTTGAATTCTTGAGCTAGTTCTAGAATAAAGAATTGAATAAATAATTGAGATAGGCTGTCATTGCTGAACCCTTAGCTTTTTAATAAATGTCTACAGTATATGCTGTGGGGGGACATGATGAGGATGGTAAATCTTTGTCCAGCGAAAGGAGTTTGAACAACCACACTTTACGTGGGTCTTCCACCGTGTCCTGGGACTTCCCCACACTGGACTGGGCAGGTGAGGTTGGGCTTTACTGTAGGAAGGGAGTCACTTGAATCCAGCATGCTAGATTCCGTGCTATGAGGCTCTATGTAATAGTACTAGAAAGACTAGGTAGCTACTATATTCATAAAAATAAAGTTCAACTCTTTTTTGAATCTCTACCAAATGCTAGAGTAGAAAATGCAATAAGTCACAGTCCTTGCCCTTAAGATGTTCAGAGTCTTGCAAAGGAAATGATAAACAAATCAATAAAATAACAAGTTAATATTATGAAAGGACTTAAGCTCAGAGGAAAGGCGCATAAATCCAGTTGATGGTGTCGGTGGGAAGAACGGTTGGGAATAAATAGTGTTTGTACAGTGAGGCCTGGCTGTCCTTAGAGCAATTTTATCTATTTCATTCGCTTCATAGAAACCCTATCCAGTGAAAAATGGGTTTATCCTCCTTTTAATAGGTAGGAATAGTGCTGAAAGCAGTTAAGTTAGATCACTAAACGTTAGTGTTAGAAGCAAGATTTCGTTTTGACCCCGGCCTTGTGATTTCACAGGTGCAGCCTTTTTTCAGAGTATCTGCTCTCGGAGCCTCCGTGGAGAAACACGGACTCTCATCTGGGCAGTCAGGCACTCGCCAGGGCGTCAGTGGAGGACGCGGGTGACCCCTGCCCCGGACAGGAGTGACTCCGCCTGGGGCTGTGCACTTCCCTGTGTAGAGACGCTGGAGATGTGGCGCTGTAGTGCGAGCCTGGGTAGGCATCGCAGGCCGAAACACCGAGAGAGCCCACGCCGCTGTCCTCTCGCCCATCTCGCAGTAAAGTGACGTTGGGTCACCCAGGCAGGACAGGGCTCGGCTTCCCTTTACGCTGCTCTGGGAAAGGAATGAGCAAGCCACGTGGCAGTTTGAAATAGAAGCTGTGGTAGCCCAGCATATAGTAGAGCTTATCATTGTAGCCGAAACGTTGCCGAGAAGAAACTAACGTGCCATTGCCCTGTGCAGCCTTGACTTCGTCTACCGAGTTCTGAAGTCAGCTCATCTGGGGCTTTCTCTATGCAATTTGCTACTGTATTAGATTTTCTCAGGTGCTTTGTGGGATTATTTTCTCTGTAAAATCAAATGATGAAAGAGTGTTGTGCAAGTGCCCATTCTGATTTATTTCTCTCCAGTTTTGAGTTGATTAAATACGTTGGCTTTCATTGTCAGTATGAAAATCCATCTGGCTGGAAATCTGCAAGGGCTAAGTTCTGTTCACGTCTGGAATATAGTAACTCGCTAAAGTGATTACCACTTCAAACATTTCCCATATGTTATGTTTACATATTTACATCTCATGTCTGGCCTTAATTTTTCTCTGGAGTTTGATTACTTGCCTATTTGTTCCTCTTTAGATGTAGTAGACAGGAAGCTTACCTTTTCCATTTTATTTTCTCTGTGGCACATAGTAGGTAAGGACTGATTTGGGGACGTCAGTGAAGGATGAGTGAGAAGATGACCATCCGCGTGACGTAACCCTCAGCTGTTTCCACAGCCTCCCCAGACCGTGAGCTCCTTGGCAGCAGGCTCCGAATACACACTTCTCCTGCGGGGTCCAGCGTGGGGAGGGCTTGGCACGTCACATGCTGATAAATGTTTGTGGAATGAATACACTTTTGAAAGGTGGTTTTTATGTTGTCGGAGGCAGGGGCTTCACTATATTTAGCGTCTAGTCATTAAAAAAAATCTGATAAAATTCCTAAAGGTGAAGAAAATTCTGGCTTAGCCATAATAGCTTTTCCATACAAAATCTATAGCTGTTTCTTAGGACACCTTTCTCCAGGCCTCCACGACACTCTGCAGTGAGCGCACCGGAGGCTGTTTGCAGACGTGTGGTGGCCTGTCATACAAACGGGCGGCATGGAGGTTGTTTCTCAATGTGTCCACATGGTGTCAGGAGAGAGCTCCCCTGCTTTGCCCTTGGGGGCCTTGGGAGTGTGGCGGTCCGCCCTCAGAGCACCGGCCTGCAGAGTATGTCTCCCACGTCTAAAGCGTGGCCAGGCCACGGTTCTCTGGAATTGAAGGTGGTCATTTTGGGCCAGTTTGAACAGTTTAAGGGGAGCAGCGGGAAAGTCAGCTTTGAAAGGGTCAGGGTTGTGCTGTCAGGTGGCCCGTCTGGCCCAACATCTCTGCCTGAAGCAGATTTAAGTTTGGAGTTTGGTTTGGGCTTCTTTCTGAAACATACTATACAAATATTTTCAAAACTCTATGTAGTGTGAGGTTAAGCATTTTGTTGCGATATCTAGAATGAATGTGTTACGTTCTGCTAAAGCAGAAAGACATCGGTATATACCCCAAAGAATTAAAAACAGGTACACAAACAGGTACGCCTGTGTACATGTTATAGCGGCATTGTTTACAACAGCCACAGGACAAACAACCCAGGTGTTCATTAGTGGAGGATGGATAAACACATCAGGGCACCACCCACAACAGTATTACACAGCCATGAAAAGGGCGAAGTACTGACGCATGCTGCAACTTGGATGAACCTTGAGAACATTTTGCTAAGTTCAAGAAGCCAGACACAAAGGTCACATCTGATGTGAACCCATTCATGTGAAATATCTGGAGTAGGTCGATCCATGGAGGCACAGAACAGATTGGTGGTTGCTGGGCTGGGGGAATGGCAAATGGGAAGGAACTGCTGAGTGGGTCAGCAGCTTCACTCTGGAATGATGGAACTATTTTGGAACTAGATAGAGGTGACAGTACACGGTGAATGTACTAAATACCACTGGGTTGTTCATTTTAAAATGGTTAATTTTATGTTATTTGAATTTCACCTCAATAAAAAGTGACGCCATTAACCTACTCCCCCTCCTAAAACCCCCGAACAAAAGGGCAGATAATTAGAATCTGATGTCCTGTACTTTAGTTAAATTGATCTACCTTTTCCCTAAATAAATCGAGTCTTTTCCTGCGTAATTTTGTTCGCGTTGTGGTCTCTGACTGGGGTGACTGGTCACTCATTCTCCGTATCCAAACCTTAATCGGACATAGAAATATTTCGGCATAAGGCTTCCTTTGTGCCTCCTGTATCCCCTTCGTCGTTCTCGTGCCCACATGAGCTCTTTATCCTTTGAAGAGCCCTGACACTTTTATCTGTACATCTCTCAGGCAGTTATTTAGCTGGGCTTGGGTCACAGTCATTTATATTTGTTTCTTAGCCCTCTACCTGCTTGAGTGTGGGGTCTGTAGTGTCTGACCTTTTCTCCCCTCTCAGTGCTGGTATGCAGGAGTCACTGACTAAATAGCAGAAGAAAGCACAGCTTGGAGAGGGTGTAGGGAGAGTGGTACTGTCAGCTGTTTTTTCTGTAGCATGGCATTCCAATTAGGGCTCGGTGATTTAGATGATCAGCTGTTAGCTACTATGACAGGTGGACTCGCCATGGATCTGGGAATCCAAGGTTGGCTCTAACAGAGTTCTGGGTACAGAAGAACAGATCTTCTCTTCATCTTTAAAATGGAATTTGCAGGAGACGCCCATTGTTTTAGCAGTCTGCACGGAGCTGTTGAGTCCCAAAGTGTCTGGAGACTGGCTCTAGCGGACCATTGCTGTTTGTTCATGGTGCTCTTTCTCGTGGGCTTGATGGAGACAAGGCCACGTTGAATTCTCAAAGTACTTACACCAATGAGATGATTTCTTTAAAACATTTTCTGAAGACTTTTTGGCGATATTTTGTGGTGATGTGTATATCCTTAAATTTACCCAAGGCTGAATCATAGTTGTTGTTGTTCGCTGGGCTTAAAGTTTTACAGTGTTACTTCGTATTCCCCTTAAATACTCCCGAATGTACATGGGGAGACACACAGGTGGGCACAGAATAAATGGTGGTGTGCTGGCGTGATGGGAGCATGCAGGGGAGACTCGGGCACTGAGAGCTGTGACCTTCCTTACCAGTGATCAAGTGAGATTTTCGTTCCATTGATTGTTTTCGATAACGTGTACCTTATTGTGTTCTCGTTCTTTGAAACTTAATTTTCTTTTTCAAGATTAAGTCAACCAGGACAATCTGGTTCTTCCCTTAGTGTATAAACGTAGCCTGTGATGGTAACTTTTATCCCAGATAATGTTTAAAGAATTACATCTTCTGTTCTCAGGACTACTCTGAGTGACTTATGATAGTGGTAGAGGGGAGGAAGTTCTTTCAGGCAATGGAAAGAAATAGCAATTTTAGTACTCTGCAGGCTTAGCCGCTGATACATTGGTAATAGCACGTGTATGCTAATTGTGTCATGTTAGGCGAAAAGCACATTTGACTTAGATATAGCATCACTTATTTTTAGGCTTAAGATTTCAGATAAATGCCCAAATGATGTTTTTGGGTCTTTGTCTATCCTGTTGCAATTCTGAAGATTAAGTGATGCACAGTGAGCCTCAAGGGTGTCTGACCGCGGTGCACTCACAACTGGTCATGGTATCTCAGAGATCATGGTGTGTCGTTGTAGCCACAAAGGTGGGCAAGACATTATGTTGCCATGAGATTAGAATGCGAGCGGATCCAGTTTAGAGACTGCATGCTTACATCTTTCACTTAGTAAAGTTTTAGTCCTGGAAGGAACTGGAAATGACATGGAGGTCGTCAGTCCAGTCTCGGGCTGTAGAAGCCAGGGCTGGAGGGGTTGCTCGGTTACAACTGGCAGCGGTAGGACTGTATCCAGGCCGGTGTGTGTTCTCGTAGCACAGCTCTTCTCCCCGTGTGTCAGGGCGAGTGTGTGTGAGTGTGCGCAGCAGCATTTGCTGGTGCATCTTGCTTCCATTGGTGTCAGTTGTATACTTGCTGACTTATTTCATACACACTGTTTTCATCAGATCGAGCCCCAATACCTGTGCACGCACATGGTAAGTGTAAGAACAGCTGTTTGCCAAGATCATAGGGAGGCGTAGATTTCAACGAGGTGTGACTCAGGGATCGAAGGAATGCATGTTCTTGAAGATGTTCTGATTTCCTTACATTGTTGACTCAAGTCATGCGTATGTTTTTCACATTTAGCCAGGGTATGATGACCTTAATCCTGACTGGAGACTCTCTGTGGAGAAGAGGAAAAAAATCAAAGGTGAGTTGAATGAAATACGATATTTAAAAACTTTAAGAGACTCTTATTGTATAATACAGGTGGTCTTTAGTTGACATAATATATGTAGGGGAGGGGAAGAAATCTTTTTCTTTTCACTCTCTAGGGTTCTCTGGCTGGGGCCCTGTAAATGAGGTGGACAAAAGACAGAGTGACAGAGAAAAACACTAGAAGTGGGGCTAATACATGGGAGCTCCTGCAGCTGAGGCTCCAAGGGTTGGTTGGAAATGGGGCTTGTACAGCATCTTAGCAAAGGAACAGTGTATTTTAGGTAAGTGACAAGACAAAGGAAAAGAACACTGAGTTTCTTGAATTCCTTCATTGCCGTCTCTCGGCCTGCCGGGATCGGTACAACGCAAAGAACTACAAGCACACGCCGCTTGGAGTGAGAGGGAGCTTTGCAAGGGAGCAAATGCTTCAGATCTTTGGACACAGTCCCATTCATTTGCAGATTGGTTCCCCAGGTTACAAGTGGATTTATGTAAATTATATCCTTAAGATGGTATCTGTGCAAACCATACAGCTTAGCTTTGTTGCTCCCTTTTTATGGCGGAAAGAGAATTTAAAACCAAAAAGTAACAAACCCAGACATTCTTGAGTCCTACAACACATTTGTCCACTTGAGGTGGTGTTCCAGCCAAAGTCATGCAAACCTTATCTTATTCACATGCAAAAGAAGCATGCAATGCATGCAAGGTGGTCTTCCTGTTTATCAGTTGAACCTGTCTGTCCACACACACACACACACACACACACACACTTTGATCCTAGGCTGGCCAGGTTGCGAGAATGCATATCACAAGGTTACAAATCCTCCATCTACCAACCCCTCATCCCCACACTTCAGTTTATTTTTTATGTCAAAGTGGCATATAATGGGTTGGCATGGTATCTTGATCCCCTTTATGTGAACACTTTGTATACACCTACCTTTCAATTTATTATGTTAAAAATGATGAAGTGTATCTCTGTAGTCTTCATTTTTTTTAGAGGAAAGACTTTAATATATTTAAGTCTGCATCCCTGTAATTTTGAATTTTGATCGGCAAATTCTTGATACTCAGATGCTTATTAAATAAATTACCATTTTGTAAAAATTAAAGTGATGACTTGCAGTTTTCTGTTCTCATGATTTAACATATCTTTAGGGCCCAAATATGGTTCATAAATTGATCATTGGACTAACTGTGTTGTATTTAAACCACACTGACAGCTACATTTGTGCTGATTTACTTTCCCCTTAGATAAAGCATCCTTTTACCCCCTGATCGACGTGAACTGGTGGGCAGACAGTGCTGTGATTTTGGCTCGCTGTTCTGGTGCTCTGACTGTTTCCTCTGTGAAAACTTTGAAGAATTTGCTGGGAAAATCCTGTGAATGGTTTGAACCGTCACCTCAAGTCACTGCTGCCCACGATGGGGGATTTTTAAGTTTGGAGGTAAGGCTGTCCCTCTCAGCGTGTCTGAAAGTAAACGTGTTTCCCCAAAATGCTAAAGATCTGTTGGTTTAAATTGGTTAACCCATTATCTGTTGTCGGCTTTAAGAACAAAAGTCTGTGGTTGGAATCACAGATTGAGTGCAGTATAAAAAAGATCTATTGTTTAGTCAATTAAACATTTGCATTGTAAAAGAATGACGAAAACCTGTAGTCATTTTGATGTCTATAACTATTTTTTCTTCACTGACATGATAGATTTTTTTCTAGATTAGTCATTTTAAAATGTAAAAAGTATTGCTACCTAAGAAATATAGTCTTTAACCTGTTTTTATGAATATGACAACTGAACATTTTTTATCCTTTTAGAAAGAAAAGCTTGTTTATCATGACAAAAGACTGGAAAACAGAGGCTACTAAGTTAAAGTTATGTTTTGGTTATTTAAAATTCTTATTTTAAGTCTTTGAAGGGTAACGTTTTTCAATAGCTCTTACTTCAATGTAGATGGACAAGTGTTTTTCTTTTCTTTTTTGGTACACGCCCCTAGTGGGAACTGAACCCGGGACTCTGGTCCACAGGCCGACACTCCAACCGCTGAGCCAAACTGGCCAGGGCTGGACAAGTATTTTTTATCTAAAAGTTTGTTACAGAGTTTAAAGATGTTATTGAGAGAGAATTAAGGCCTAACTTCTAAGCCAACTCTAAAGTCTAGGATGAAAGTCATCTTTAACAGTCAGACGCCCGGACTCAGAACTTTGTCAAACTATTGGACACTTTTAAAAAGGGGAGGGCAGGGGCCCATTCTCAGTCGAGGAAATAAATACGTTCATGTTCCTTTTCTAAACAAATGAAACAAATCATCAACTTACTTTTCCACAGCTGGTATAAAAATATCACAAATGAACAAATTAACACTCCCAACTCCTTCATTTCCCTGGAATAATTACCAGGCATATATTTACACGATCATATTAATGACATTATTAAAACAGACGTTAGTTTTGGGGATGAGGAGCCAGGAATGTATCTGACGTATCTCACGTCTGTGGTTGGGTCCCTTTGAATTCCATTTTCAGTTTTAATCACATGGTGATGTGATCAAACCAGCGTAGAATGAAAATGATTTTTCTCATTAATTCTAAAACTTGTCTTTGGTTCCTCACTGTTAACACCTTTTCCCATTTAGTGTGAGATCAAACTTGCCCCCAAACGCTCTCGTTTGGAGATGAGGGGTGGAGAGGAAGAGGAAGGAGAAGAGGATTCGGATTCCGATCAGGAAGTATCTGCCAAGGCCCGCTACTTCGGGTACATCAAGCAGGGCCTGTACCTGGTGACAGAGATGGAGCGGTTCGCGCCACCACGGAAACGCCCGCGGGCCATCACCAAGCACTACCGCCTCGTGAGCTTGCGCTCCACCACGCCCGAGGAGCTTTACCACAGGAAGGTGAGAGCAGCCTTGCTGGCCGGCTCTGGGCACCGGCTTTCCCGGGAGAGCCACGGGCGACCTCGTTCCTTCCTTTCCCATTAGAAGTAATATAGATTGAATTAGCTTGTTCCAGACCCCAGGTGACTCCCGCTTTTAACCTTTCTTCCATACAGTACATGTCTAAGGTACTGCTTAATCTATAAACAAACACTTGCTTCCTTAAGTTCATGGGCCCACAGTGATTAGCCTCAGACGAATCACTCTCAGCACTCATTCCAGGGTCTTCCAGGAGGCCGGCCTGTGACTGCTTGCTGGCTGCCCCTGGCCGACCGCTTCCCTGTCTCCTGCCAGCCGCAGTCTTCCTTCCTCCCCAGCTGCCTGTGACCGTCGTTTCTTCCAGAACCTTAGCAACATCGCACTCTTGATGGCCTGTTTATGTTTTAAAATTTTGCTAATCATCCATTTCACCAGCAACTAAAGCAAAAGAACAACAACAACAACAAAACTCAGCAATACAGCACAATTTCCTGAGATGTTTACAGTGTCAGGTGTAGCTGTGAACTGACTCGCGTTCTCGCCTGTGCCTGAGAGAAGCTGTTTGTCATGCTGATGTGTCAGCGCGAAAGGGTTGTCAGGTCACGAACTGAAGTTTTGTTCAAAGACTGAGACTTTTTTTTAATGAACATCTTGGTCAAGAACCGAGTTTTTCCAGATGGGAGACGTTCGAGAACCGAGGTCTGACTGTACTTTTTTAATAAAGGAAAGAACTTAAAGAAAAAATTGTTATATTATTGACATGTTTGAAATATCAGTGTTATCCAGCTTTTGAAAGTAGAGCTGGTCTTTATGCCTGAGCACTCAGAATAAAAAGTGATGAAGATGAGTTCCCTTTGTGTGTCCGCTTTGGCTCCGCCTGCTGCCTTTCCCGTGGCCTTGTCTGTGCTGCTGTGCAGTGGTCTCCTCTGTGCCAGTCGGCGGGGAAGACCTGCCCACCTGCTGTCCCGTCAGGCTTTGCTTAGAGGCAGGTGGGGGCAGCCCGAGGACTCCTGTTAGCTGTGCTGTCCCTGCAGCATCCTGGGCGGACTCTGCCACACGCGAGGCCATTGGCACCGCCCATCCTGGCTTTGCATCATTTCACTCTGTGCATGTGGGCATTTCACCTTTTGTCCCTCAGCCTTCTAATTAAGTGTGAAGACCAGTACTGGGTCTGTCTGCCCCTCACAGTGTGTGTGAGCCTCTAGTGCCACCGTGCCCACGAGAATAGTTGGGAATGGGTGGCGTGCTGCACATGTGAGGGGTATTCATCTGCCCCTCACGTCATCACAGTGACCTGGGGACAGCTCGGTAAAGTAACGTTCCTGTGTCCCTTTCCTCGTCCACAGATCGAGAATGAAGAGTACGAGGAGGCCTTGTCTCTGGCTCAGACCTATGGCCTGGATACGGATCTCGTGTACCAGAGGCAGTGGAGGAAGTCGGTGGTCAACGTTGCTTCAATCCAGAACTATCTGGTATGTTCAGACATTTGGTAACATGCTGAAATTCAAATGTGTGGAATACCTTCTGGTTATAGGGCTTCACATTAGAGTACTTTCTATTGTTGATTTTCTTTTTTTTTTTTCAATCCTCACCTGAGGATATTTTTCCATTTTTTATTCAGATAGAGTGGGAGGGAGAGAGAGAAACATCGACGTGAAAGGGACACATCGAGTGGCCGCCACCTGCATGACCCAACCAGGGCCGGGGACAAACTGCAACCAAGGTAGTGCCCTTAGCGGGAACCGAACCCGGGTCTCTCTGGACCGCAGGCCGACTCTCTAACCGCTGAGCCAAACCGGCCAGGGCTATTGTTGATTTTTCTATAGCGGATGAAATATGTTTTACTCTGCATGAGTCAGGGCCCCGCCAGGAGCCAGACACCACAGTGATTAGAACAGTGAAAGTTCTATCTGGAGAATTATTTTCTAGTAACAACAGGTTAACTGTAAAGGGGTAAAGAGAACACCAAGGAATTCCTTCGACCCTGAGGCTGAAAGAACACCTCCGGGAGGAAGCAGACTCGGAAGGGAGGCCTCCTCCCCTGGCTGGGACTCAAACCCCCTCGGTCCAGGAGTTGTTGTAGCACATTGGACGGAAAAGAAACCCTCCAGGATGTTAAGGGCCAGGGTGGTCTTTCTTGTCGAGGTTGGTGCTTAGTTGCTGAGGTTGGCCTTACTTGCCAGGTTGGTCCATAACGCCACAGTTGGCAGGCAGAGAAAGGTGGGATGGGTGGGCAGGCTGGCTGGGCGCCTGTTGCCAGGGTACATCAGTGAGTGGAGGTTGGAAAGCCCTAGAGACCGGAAGGAGGAAACCCTCCCCAGGCATTTTTTTCAGCTCATGGTTGGTAGATAAGGACCATGGCCGGGACTGAAAAGAAAAGACTCCCACTGAAATGGGCAGGCTTCGTCTGGGAGGGCCCCCTTCACCGCCCAGGGCGCACACGTGAAATTCAGTGAGAGGCTGTGCAGAGCAGGCCGAAGAGGTCAGTAAACGCCCCTGGATGTCCCCTACTTGCCCGAAGAAGGAGTAGAGCACCCCAGGACCAGAAGCCCAGAGCTTCCCACTGCAGTGGCTCTCCATCGCCCTCTGTTGACAAGGCTCAGTGTGTCAGCTGCAGAGGGGCAACGCTGGCTGTCCCAAAGCTGGCTGGGAAGAGGAAGTTTGAAGATGAGAGGCAGCAGACAGGTAGCTGACACAGTGAGCTTGGCTAATACCTACTATGCGTTTAAATCCTACAATGGACCCCTCTTGCCAACTGCTGCCACAGTTGTTACGTGGCCTGTATACTGTACCCTTGGCTCCTTCGTGAGGAAGTTGTTGGGCTTCAGTCATGCTTTTAAAAGAGTGTGACTTCTCATCTGACATTTAGAAAGGAAAATAACACTTGCTTTTAGGAAGATTCTAAGAAATGTTGGTAAAATTTCATAATTGTTTTTCCTAAAGATTTATGTACACGGGTAATTAAAAATAAAGGAAAACATAATTGGCAAAAGTTGTATGTAGGAAGTGAATGCTTCAACCAAACAGGAAGATAAAGTATTAATACAAGTAAGACATGGGCCATGAGAGAGCAGAGAGATAATTAAACAAAGGAAGTTGCTTGTGTTTTCTTGAGAATTTTGGAACACCAAGGCTGTGTACTCTTCCTTTCTTCTTTTGTGACGTGGGACAGGAAGCTTGTGAGTTCATGTACACCATTTCATGGCCCTTTCTGGAACACAGTAAAGGCAAGCTTTGGTCCTTGAAGGAGAGGCAAAGCAAGTACATTTTTTTTTTTTAATTGGGGGAAATACTTAATTTAGCCAAATAAATAGGCAGTGAAGAGTAAAGCACTACACTAGGGGTGGTGAAGGGGCAGAGAGGCTGCTTATATATGGGAGTTGCATTTAGGGAGCTTCTGATCTTACTGAGAAGACAAGCCTCATTCCTAAGATATAAAGAACCAGTGAGGGAACAGTCATTATAGACCCGGTGGTATGTGCAGGGATTTGAAAGGATTCAGAGTAGGCCTTCTAGAGTTGGAAGAGAGGAAGACATTTTTAGTGAGACACATGGTATGAGCAAATTAGAAAAAAATGAGCATGACTCATGAGGCCAGCAACCAAGTCTGTCTTATTCATTGCTGTGTCCTTGAGTCCAGTTCAATGCCTGGCAATCAATAGTTTTTGAATGAATCAACGAACTCTGTAAGTAAACCAGTCTGCTGGGTGTAACGGTCCACAAGAGGGAAAATTGTGAAATGTGATTCAGAAGACACACTGGTTTGGGTTCGGGAGGGTGTTGAAAGCTTGTGGTGACCTAGGCTTTTATCTTTTGGAGAATGGGGGGCGGTGGTGGAGTTTGACCGTGGAGTACGGAGGAAGGTGGTGCAGAGGATGAGCGAGGTGGAAGGAGCGGGGTGGGGGGAGCCTGCTAAGGGCGAGGCGTCCCAGGTGTTCTGTGTTGGTCACAGAGACAGGTGCGCTGGCCATAGACCTGGAAGAGGGGACGTGAGCTGCGAGACATTTGAGGAAAGAACTGCTATGGTAGAATGTGTAAAAGAATATAGGGTATGAGTCAAATTTCAAATTTGTAACCCCAGTGAGTCTTGTGTGAAGTCGGGTTTTGCATGGAGGCAGAGGAAGCACTCCGAGCGAGGACTAGGCCCTCGGTCTTTCCAAAGAACAGCGTATGACTTTCTGATTAAATTATCACCCGTGCTTTCTGATGCAGCTCATGGTCAAAACTGTGCCTCACTAGTTTGCTTCAAAGTTAATCATGCTGGTTACATCTAATCTTGCCTTTCTTCTTTATTTTCTACTCTGTTATATAACTCTAATGAAAACTAAAGAGCAACTATAAACATCTGAAAAGATTTTTTTCTATCTTTAAAAATGAGTACTTAGCTTTATGTTTAGTCAGAACTAGAAAGACAGCAGTTGGCACCACATGGGCTGCCTCCAGCTCTAATCACCACAGGAATGGGAGTGAGCTTTTTCCCGTGGCCTTCTCAAGCAGCCACCTGTACTCCTGAGGTATAGCTTTGTGATTCTAGAAGGAGCTGTCAGGTGCTAACGGATGACACGGGTTGCTGGACGCCTCCGTGTTTTGTCTTCTTTGTATCCAGAGTAAAATAAAGAAGCGGTCCTGGGTTCTGCACGAGTGTTTGGAGCGAGTTCCTGAAACTGTGGACGCTGCCAAAGAGCTGCTTCAGTACGGACTGAAAGGCACAGACCTGGAGGCTCTCCTGGCGATCGGGAGAGGCGTGGACGATGGCAGGTTGGCTGCAGAAGGATTTGGGTTCAGCAGTATAGGGGACTTTGTGACAGCCTCTACGCTGAGACACTGGAAAAGGGAAGCTGTCCTTGGTTTAGGTTACTCTGTAATGAAGCAGTTGCCTTTGATCCGTGCTTTCTGCTCCGAGGTCAAGGCTTTCTGTCCTTCCAGTTGAGTGTGTTCACATAGGGTGGCCGGATGCCAAGGAAAGGGCACATGCTACACACATTGACCGAGTGCGGCCACTTCCTAGCGGCGGGCTCCAGGCAGGACCTGCTGTGCCTGTGGGCACACGAGCCCCCGCGCACGTCCGAGCCTCACTGTCTTTTCCTGGGACACCCTGCCGGCTTCACAGAATCACCGGGAGTGATCACATAGTGCAGCTGGTGGAAGCACCTCGTAAACTTCTAAGCACCCTACAAATGTCAGTTAAAATAAAGTTATTTGCTGAGAGTCGTCGCTCACCAGAAGTTTGGACCTTTTTGTGGGATCTCAGTGTGATAGAATGTCTGATACATAAATATGTAAATGAGACTGACATTCAAGACCATTTGAGACCAAATAGAAGGGTTCGCACGTGAACCCCGGGGCGCCCTCCTTCACAGGCTCACGCTGCTGTCATTTTCCTGAGCTGAACGAGTTCTAACTGCGCCGGCTGCTGATCACCTGATGACTTTTGCCCATCCTGTGGATTAATCAGTGGTCACTTTGCTCACAAGAGCAATAGCTTTCTTTCAAATAATGGGTGGTTCCTGTGGAAATCCCGTGAATAATAAAATCAGTCACAGTAGGGGGTAGTGGGTTTTCATGTCATGAAATAAAAAAAAAGTAATCAGCATGGAGTTGGGTTTCCTGTCTTACAGATTCACGTTGCCTGGCGATGTAGACATCGACGGCATCTCCTACGAGGAGTTTCCCCGCGAGGACGAGCCCGCCCCGAGCACCGGGGAGCAGGAGCGCAGGAGGCGGCGGGAGCTGCTGAGATTAGTGCACTTCTCCGAGTAAGCCACGGGGACTGTTCGGGTGGTGCTTTCTTTAAGTGATTACTCGTCTGACTGTGCTCTTTACTGGAGATGATTGCTCTCAATTATTTCAGCAACTTAAATCAAGTGCATGCAATATTTACCCAGGTGCTTCTGTGTACTCTTCCGTGAATTTGGGGCTTAATAGAACATCGATCATTTTTATTTTATTTTAACTCTTAGAGAAGTGTGCTTTTATGTAAATATAAGCAGCCTAATCTGTTCATTCAAAACAGGTTAACCCTGGAACAAAAGGAACTTTGTCGCTGTAGACTGAAGTTACTGACCTACTTAGACCGGCTTGCAACCTACGAGGTGAGGGCTAGTGAGAATCAAACCAATGATGGGCATTGGTCTGTCACTATAAATGCTGTGTCTGGCCTAATAACTGATAATCTTGGTCTTTAGAGCTGTGTAGGTGGGAAAGATTCACGATGTACAGAAACAGGTTCTCTCGTACCCCGGTTTTGGTATAGATGAGGGGTTGTGAGAGGCCAGCGTGGCTGTGTTAGTCTCGGGAGCAGAGGTGCTCTGGCTGCGGCGCTGCTCTGTCCTACGTTTACAGTCTTGCATTTGCTTTGATTTCACATTTGGATGTTAAGGTTAAGGAATACAGCTATCTCCAGTGCCAAATTTCAGTGTCTATTGTGTTTTAATAATCTTAATGTAAATTTTGTTGTTGTTAATTCTCACCAAAGGATATTTTTTCCATTGATTTTTAAATTTTTTTAGAGAGAATGTGGAAGGGAGGGAGGAAGGTAGTGGGAGAGAGAAAAAGAGAGAGAGAAAGAGAGAGAGAGAGAGCGAGAAACGTTGATGTGAGAGAGAGACATTGATTGGTTGCCTCCTGCATGCACCCTGACCTGGGCCAGGGATCGAACCTGCAGCCCATGTACGTGCCCTTGACTTGGAATCCAACCCCCTGAGACCCTTTGGTATATGGGCTGATGCTCTAAAGATGCTGAACAACACCAGCCAGGGCCCAATAAATATTTTTTATTCATTTTATTTTAATGATTTGTTAGTGGGTTGAACTGAATTGATTGAACTTTGATCCCATTATGGCCAAAAGTAGCCACTTGAAGTTAAAACACAGGTGTGCAAACACAGACGTCTCCGTGGTGGCATTTCAGTAGCACTGTGTGCTGTAAGGTCAATTCAGGTGTTGTGGAAGGCGTGAGAAGCATTCCAGGGACACACACGGCTGGGGCTGCTTCCCCCGTGACCCTCACCGCTGCAGCTGCCAGGATTTCATACACTTTCTCACCTTCGCAGTTCGACTTCAAGGACAGGTCGCTTCCTCAGCCTGTGTCACGCCGCCTTTCTGTGGGCACACTGTCACTGGCCCTGGGGACTGGCACGTGGTCCTCACTCCCCAAGTGTCACACCTGAAGAGGTGATGCCGGTCCCCAGAATAACAAAGGGATTTTGTACTTCTGATGCCTGCAGACAAATCCTGAAGCATTCAGTTCCCACCTGCTAGTACAGTGGAAGTGTGTTCAGACAGAATGCTAGTGACAAAGGAGGGCTGTCTCTGTGGTTCTTAAAAACCATAGCAACGAGGAGAGCATTTCAGGCAAACGGGTCGCAAAAACGTCCTGATAGTTTCTCTATGGTACAACTGGTTTGAATGTTGGATGGTCATACTTTTAAAGCATATCATTTTACTTTTGTCTGGGATCTGTGATATTTGAGGTACTATATAAAAGCATGTTGTGAACTGCGGAAGCCAGTATAGGTATAGTTTATCATTCTTTATTGTTAGCTTTAGTTTTACCAATGATGAGATATCTCACAAAGAAAAGTTTCATGAAATGTTCGGTGTTTGGCTACCCGATTAATTTTCTTTCATTGTTCTTTAGTTATTGAATTGCTGATTTCTATTTGACAGCAGTAAGGACATCTATTATTACATGGTAACTGATATTTAAAGTGTTTGTTGGGCTCACTTTTTCAGGGAATTAGCTAAGCTTTTGAAAAGTAAATGAAGTTGAATTTGGCTGTTGAAACTTAGAAATGAGGATATATAGGTATAATGGCTAACAGGTGGATAGTTGTAGATAGAGGCATTGCACTTTAATCGTAGGGCATGGCTTATTTTATTCATTCTGTGGTAAATGAGATAAAAATGGATTCATTTAAATTTTATTCAAGTGCCTCCTATCTACCAGATATTAAGCCAGTGCTGGAGATCAAGAGATGACAAAGGAACAATCCTTTACTATATAGGCATTAATTGATGATAATGAAGATACGAAACATTGATGTGGGAGCCTAATGGAGAAGAACATTAAATTTTTCCTGGTGATGTCTGAGATGACACTGCATAGGAAGAAAGAGGAATCCTATTTCAACTAGTCCTTAAAAAAAGGAGGACAGATTTAGGGGCTTTGGGGATCCGAGAATGGAAGCTTCATAGAGGTGGAGCTTTTGTTTGCTGCAGTGTCCCCAGAGCTCAGACTGCCACCTGGTGTGTTGGGGAGCTCGGTAAATGTTTGTTGAGGCGATGACTGGGTAAGACTACTATCTACAAAATACCAGCACGTTTGTGAGGAGTTACTGCTTGTCAGCCAGCGTCTCCTGTACTTGATCCAGATCATTTCCCAACACTTTCCAGAGTTAGGTACTATTATCCTCGCAGTTGTATGGATGTGAAGATCGAGGCTTAGAGAAGGCAAGTCATTTGTCTAAACAGTTAGGGAGCAGGAGCACATGGCTGGGCCTCCGGTCAGGGGCCAGTGTGGGGATCGGCGCTGTGAGGGCGGGCCGGACCCGTGGGGCCAGTGCACGGGGCGCTCCGGTCAGGGGCCGGTGTGGGGATCGGCGCTGTGTGGGCAGTGCGGACCTGTGGGGCCAGTGCACGGGGCGCTCCGGTCAGGGGCCGGTGTGGGGATCGGCGCTGTGTGGGCAGTGCGGACCTGTGGGGCCAGTGCACGGGGCGCTCCGGTCAGGGGCCGGTGTGGGGATCGGCGCTGTGTGGGCAGTGCGGACCTGTGGGGCCAGTGCACGGGGCGCTCCGGTCAGGGGCCGGTGTGGGGATCGGCGCTGTGAGGGCAGTGCGGACCTGTGGGGCCAGTGCACGGGGCGCTCCGGTCAGGGGCCGGTGTGGGGATCGGTGCTGTGTGAGGGCAGTGCGGACCCGTGGGGCCAGTGCACGGGGCGCTCCTGACACAGTGAGCCGTAATGAAGGGAGGAGCGGGGTAGGAGGGTTGGTGGCCATCCGTGGAGAGGTGCTTATGCTGTGGAAGGAGTAGCTTTACATTGCGTTTCTGCTAGAGGCCGCCCGGTCAGTTTGGGAAGGAGTGGACGTGGGGGTGGAACAGTGGTTGTGGGCAGCGCTCCCTAGAGGCTGGACTGTGAAGGGGAGCAGGGAAGGTGGTGGTGGCCGGAGGAGGAGAAAGGGTTAAGGGTGGTCATTTGAACAGAAGGAGGAAGAAGCACTGTTTGCATGCTGATGGGACGAGCCAGTGGAGGGTGGGGGGTATCGAACAGGGGAAAGAGGAGGGGAGGACGCAGGAAATTCTTTTCTCCCCTCCCCTCTCTGTCTGGGCCTCCATCTACCTTGCAGATCCAGACTCTTTTCCTTGCTCATCTTTTAAAGGGTGGTGTTCCTCAGTCTCCTTTCACTTTGTTCTGCTTACTTTCCCTGGGAAGCATCCTCGCTTCTGTGTGAAGAACTCTGCATCGTTTGTGTAACTCACATCTGATTCCAGGGTTCCTACCTGTGTACCCACCTGCCTCTGGGGAGCTCCTGCTGGACGTGCTGTGGGTCCAAACCCAACATGTTTACTTCCTCCTCTCCACCTGCCCTCACCTCACCACATCCTCCCCCTTCCCTCCTTCCCATCTCAGTGCATCGATGCAGAGTCAACAGCATTTACTGGTTATTTATCATGCATGCTCTGTGCCTGGGGACCAGCACTGAGCATGGCAGACACGAGCCCAAAGCCGCGTGTCGTCGTGGGGAGGCCTGTGCTTGCTGTTGCCCGGCCGACCGCTCGTCCTTCCTGCTCTGCTTTGGTGCTGTTCCTGGGAGCCCTCCCTGCCCTCCGGAGCCAGTGTTCCCTCTCTGCCCTGTCTGCTTGTCTGTCCTCCCTACGAGATCTTAAGCCACACGGAGAGCAGGGTCACGTTGTGTCACCTGCCTGTGACGGTGCCCCAGCACGTAGTGGGCACTCCGGAGATGTGTGTTGAATGAGTGAATGGTTCCTTCTGCACTTTGCAGAGATCACTCAGCAGCAGCCAAGCTCCAGTTCTCATGCAGCTGTGCCTGTAGCACCCTGCACGGCTGTTGTCTGCTTGTTCTTTCCAGGTGATGCGTGTTGGCTGTCCTACTGTAATTTAATTTTTACGGCCTATTCCATTTACTTCTGCGTATTAAACACTTAACAGCAGTTACAAACTTAGCCATTTTCAAGATAAAGGCAAGATTGCAGATGTACTACTTCAGTGAACAGTTATATTGTAATTAATTCAGGCCTTATTTATTTAGGGAGGCAGAATTGTAAAGGTTTTTAATATTTTCTTGTGATTGATATTTCAAAGGCTTTTCATAAAATCTCTCTTTCCTTTCAGCAAATCCTAGGAGTATCTCATGCATCTGAACAGAGATATGATGCTGAATTCTTTAAGAAGTTCAGAAATCAGAATATTGTTCTCTCAGCAAGAAATTATGCTCGGGTAATTTCTTTTTTGTAAATAAAACAATTATGGTTATTAAAAATTTCTAAATCTTTGAGCCATACAGTTAATGTTATCGCATGCATATACCACTACATTATTGTAATATTAATAAATGTATACTGAATGGAATCATATTTTTAAAAACTTTATTCTTCATTCTGACTTATAAAAATAATTGTTTTTATAGTTTTAGATTGAGAAACATGATACAGCTAGGAAGAATCAGGAATATTTCAAAATACTTCACATCAGAATTCCATAAAAAGTCAAGGAAAAGTTTTTGAATGTTGCACAGAATCACCCTCTTGCCTCAGGCTCACGTGGGACCCTTGCCCTTGCTTTCTGTGCAGGAGAGCAACGTGCAGGCCCTGGAGATTCTCTTCACCTACCACGGAGCCCACCTGCTGCCTCACCGCCTGGCGCTGCTCTCCAGCGTCCCCGAGACCACGTCTCCGCACCAGTATTCTGTCCTGCTGCCCGAGGCGTGGTACGTGACATTGTTAGCTGACTTTTTCCTACGTTCTAAACCAAAACCGTTCTTTGTTTCATGCTGAACCCCTTAAATTGAAAATTACTTTTAATATCATCTATTTAAACTTTTTTTTTCCTGATTATAAAGTTTTTGTAACTTATTTTCAAATGATCCTGAAATCAGAGTGTATCTAGCACACACAAGACCACCTTTGCTTAATGAACACGGACTTTCCTGTCTCTGCAGTCCTCTTGATTTGACTGCTGTGCACTGGGCAAGAACAGGTTTTGAGGATTACTGTCTGTCCGAGTTAGTTATACCTTTCAGAGACTGAGGTGTAGCTCTGACGACATTAGAAAGTGGGCCCCGGGGACTGAGGCATGACTGAATCCTGCTTCTCTCAACAAGCCTTTCTCCCTCCGAAATCCCAGAGGCACAAAGACCAATAGAAAGTCAGAGGAGCACTTGACTGTCCCTTAGACTAGTGTTTCTTATCTCAACTCAAGGCTGTTTGTGTTGCAACATGTGACATAAACTGGAAGCTCACAGGATCCAATCAGTCTCAGTTGTACCACCCAGGGGGCTTCTGGAGGCCAGCCATCTCTTCTGAGACTGAAGAGCAGAGAAAGTATTTGCCCCAGTGCACACAGCTCAGAGATGGGCAGACTCTCAGCCCCGGGCCTGGGCAGCACCTGGGAGGGAGGGGTGGACGGAGCACGTCTTGCTTGCCAGTGACTACAGAGAGGCGGAGGGCCAGAGGATGCACCTGCGACCGTTCACCTGCAGTGAACCAGCCCACTAGTAAGTGTGGCTCAGTCATCAATTGCATGATGCATCCTTTCTGAATTTGAGTTGACAGTCTTGCTTATTTGTATTGCATGTTTCTAGTAACAGGTGAATTGATGTATATGAAATCTGTTCTTAAACTGTAAAACCCTGTAAGAGATTATGACAGATCTGACTGAAATCATTGTTAACAACCTTCTAGCTATTAGCAGTTTACAATTTTAAGGAACATTATTAGAATTGGGATCATTTAGTTTCCTAATTCTTTCCCTGCCAACTCAACTCAGTATCATAGTTCTAGGCTTAGGTGTTGATGATCGTGACCAACATTTATAGAGTCATTACTATGTATTTGACACATACTTATGTCTGGTCTCCAAACACTTTTGGTATTATCCCACTATTACAGAGAGCTGAGATTTACAGACTTATTAATATGTTAAACTCCATGCAAGTGCAGCCAGGGTTTGAACCTATATTTATTTAGAATCAGTAGGCTCTGAAAGTATAAGTTATAAGCTCCTTATTTTGCACTGCTCTTTGAGTACCAAAAAGGTATGTTTTTGTTATGATAAAAGTGAACAAAAAGAAAAAGCTGGGAATGCCCTTTTTATTTTCAAAACATTTGTTTTAGATATGAATAGTGATATGTAAGTATAATTTATAAATGTGTATTTATAAATATTTCCTAATATAATGAATTTATTTCTGCCTCTTTGCAAAATAGATCTAATCTGAATGGGAATAAATTTTTCTACTGTAAATTGTTAATATAAAGGGCTACTGTTTCTTAAAGTATTTGTAAAGGTAATATCTTCTCAGATTTGAATGCATTTATTGTTATTGTCATCTGATGATTGCTTAGGTAAACACTTGATTTTTCACTTGAAATTTCAGAATTGGTTTGTGCAATGGTTTTACAGTGCACAGTGCTGCGTCCTCTGAGTGCCCTGTGGTTTCTGTGGGAAGCCTCCATCAATTGGTTTAAGTTGTGGTAAATGCTTTAGGTATACCATACTGCGGTGAAGGGGAATCAGAAAATAGTTATTTTGGATCTTTGTTCTGGGATATGTTGTTAGACAAACTTTGGGAAGACCGATTTCTTATATTCATTTTAAACACATTGAAAAAGTATGGACTTTTTGGGTGTTAATCTTTGTTTCTCAAGACAGTCTTTCACCCTGAGTATACTCTTGGTCTGTCTCCCAAAGGATGTGTGACTGCATCGCCAACCACAATTAGGTTTCAGGCCTAGCCTCTTTTATGAGGTCTTCCGTAAGTTTCGCCTTTCCCTGTATCCTCATAACTCTGTTCATTCTTGTAACATGCCACTTTCTCCATGGTATTATGGTCAGTCACTTTTGTATCTGCCTTTCTTCCTCTTGTTCCCTTCTGTAACAAACACCCAGCTTGAACCTAAAACAGGCTCTTACAGGCGGAGACCATCTCTTCCTTATTTTAGGATCCCCAGGGCCTAGGGTGGTGTTTGTGTAGTGGGTTCTCTGAAAATGTATATTAACCAGGTAAGTGTGGTCTGCCTTGTGCCCTCCTAAACAAGGGATTAAAGGGTGTCCTGAAGGGAGTGCAGTTTTCTTCATCACTTATACCTAACGTATGGTATATTGTGTGTCTTCTCCACTGTACCTGGTCATCCTTGGCCGTCCTATTTACATTTTCCCTGACTTTAAACCCTCCTTTTTAGCTTTATTTCTTCATAGCATTTATCACAAATCTATTTTAGTTTGAGTTTTAACTTACTTATCCTGTTCATTGTCTGTTTACCTTTCTAAAATGTCAGTTCCCGTAGGACAGAGATTTTTGTGTATTTTGTTTCTTTCCATACCCTCTGCACTTAGAATAGTGCCTGGCACATTGTAGGCACTCAGTAAATACGAGTTGGATGAATGAAGAAATGAATGAATGAGCATGAACTCTGCAGGGGCAGGACTTTGTGTCTTTTTCCTTGATGTAGCCTTAGTGCCCGGAAGAGTGCTTGGTACAAAGCAGGAACTCAGCAGGTTGCTTTGAACGAGAGCCTGACCAGTTGGCTAGGTGGGGCTTCACATTAGCCAACCTAGTTCAAGCTGTGGGATATTTTGGAAAGCCATAGTAAGTTATGCCAACAAATTGACCTTTTAACTACTCTCTTTTGAGATTCCATTGGCAGAACTTAGGCCTTGGCATTTATTTATTTACTTTTTGAAGATCATAACTATTTTATTATAAAAAAATAAAAAAATAATCAGATGACTATTGCAGGCCAAAGTTAAAGGTTTTTCACCCAGCGATTGAAGAAAAGTCAAGCAACATCTCTTGCACTCACACACCAGAGTGTTTGTGAAATAGGCAAACTCTTCAAATTCGTATTGGTAATACTTCAACGTATTCATAGTACTTGTATGTTGATTGGAAGATGGCCAAAAAAATTCATGGTTCTGTACATGCCTTGGCATTTAAACAAAATTTGATTTACCAATTTTCATTCAACAGAATTTTATGGTTGCAGTTGCCAGGAAACCTCCATGGCAGGTGTAATTCTGTGTTGTAGCTCGTCACTCTTAAGTCATCATCGACACTGATGAAATGTGACTGAGTTTTGTAGAACTTGAAATTACATTTTCTGTCATAGATGATACATCTTTTTATTAGCTACACTCTTAGTTTGTCATTGCTATAAAACATTTACAGTTTATATTCTAGGTAGCTGCTTTAGATTTTTGTTGTATCATATTTATTAGCTTCCACAATTTGTGGTAATAGAAGTTTTTTGTAAAAAAAAATAGCAATATATATATACATTTTTTACTTTAGTATTTTGATGTTTGTAGCACATTTTATCAATTTATTTTTAATTTTTTAAAATTTTTGATTACAATTGATGTTCAGTATAATATTAGTGTCAGGTGTTATAGCGCATCTTAGAAGGATTATTTAGATTGTTCATTTACACCTCTTTTCCTGCTGTAAAACCTCCAGAGTGCTGAAAGGGCCTGTCTCAGAGGTTGTGTTTCAAGCAGTTGTCTGTTGAAAGAGGCTAGCAGGGGGTGAGGGCGGAGACCAGAGCCACGTGCCTCGATGCATGGTCTTCGGTAAGGCCCCATCTGTCCTCAGCCTTCTCACCTGTCAGACGGTGGTGAGCGCAGCACTTAGTTCCCAGCGTTGTGGGAGCGGTTAATGAGTAGTTGTATACAAAGCACTGAGAACAGTGCATGGTGCCAAGTAAGTGCTACTTAAGTGTTGACAGTTACCAAAGTGGAATTTCATGCTAAGACCATGGCCTCATAGACTTACATACATCATGTACTTATTATTTTAATATTTTTATTGGAATAATTCTATAGTTACAGAGAAGTTGCACAGATGATTCAGAGACTGCATGTCTAGCATACCCTTTCTTACATAATCATAGCGCATTTGTCAAAACTAATACAGTGATACCTCGGTTCTCGAACATAATTCGTTCCAGGAGGACGGTCGAGAACCAAATTGTTCGAGAACCGAAGCAATGAAACCCAATAGGAAATAATGGAAACTGGATTAATTCGTTCCAAGCCCCAGAAAACGCCTATTTACTGGCCTAATTTGTATATAATATGTAGAAAAACATAAGTCTCAACAAGAAATAAAAGTGTACAGTATGTCTAAGGGTTAAATTCAGTGTAAAGCGTGACTCTCTCCACAAAGCGTGACTCTCTCCACAAAGCGTGACTCTCTCTCTGCACTCACACTGAGGGCGCAAGCAAGGCGCGCTGGGCCGAATGAACGCCATTCGGCTCAACTCGGCTCATCTCGGAAGTTCGAGTTCCAAATATTTGTTCGGATTCCGAGACAAAAGTTTCTCGAATCTCCTGGTCGAATACCGATTTGGTCGAAATCCGAGGCGTTCGAGAACCGAGGTATCACTGTAATTACTGTTGGGACAGTCCGTTCTGCATGTAGTGGGACACATGCATTCCTGAAAGTCACTGCACTCTGCGAAAACCACAGGACTGATGGGGAAAATGGGTTAGGGCCCAGCATTCGAAAACTTTGTGCATGGAACAAAGTTAGGAACCTAATGATATCGTCCCAAAGTTTTGCCCGTGTTAAATGGTGAGAAACATGTAAGTACTGACATATGGTACATTACCTTGAATATGACCTGAAAAAGACTTTGCTTGTGGACCTGGGTCGGAAGAGTTGCAACTCATGTGTTACTGGGAAGTGGAGGGAGAGGGTGATTAGACATC